TTAGCCAGCAGAGGAACGGTGTCGAGGAGGGTCCAGAAAAGGCCAGGGGCCGTGCGACTCAGTGGCTTGGTGCTGCTGGCTTGGACACCTGTCTTGGGCCCTCTCCCCATCCTGCTCCAAACTGGGCGGCCACCTAGAGGTGCCAGCGTGCTTCCCCCGCTGTGGCCACTAGAGGGCCACGGCCACCCACTCTGAGGGACTGCCGCGCCTCTGGTCCCACCGGGAGCATTATTTACCCTCCTGCAGCCTTGTAAAGAGGCCGGTTTTGGCCCGTGTTGTCCTTGATATTCCTTTTGTATCGTGTGCACTTCGATTTCAAGACCCCGAGCACGTCCAGGTCGGTTTGCAGTAGCATTTCACCGACCTCCGTGTGTTCGGCACAGTTGAACGTCGCAGCTCGCGTTCTGGGAGGGTCTGTGTGGGCCGCGAGGCCGGAACACTGAGAAAGGCTCACCCCGACCTTCCAGCACAGGCAACCGGCCGCCCATGGCCACCACGGTGAGGGCAGCGTCGGAGTGGACGGCGTGGGCGGAGGGCGGGGGTGTGGCAGTGGGCCCCGGCGCCTGGCTGGCCCAGCAAAGCCCCACACAGAGGCCACAGAGGTGATCTCACCCCGCAGGGCGCTGCCCGCGGTGGGGGCCGAGCTCCGCACACAACCACCGCGGACTTGTGAGCAGGATCTGAGGACGCTAGGAATCTGGGGTGATGTGGAGGTGCTGACATCTCTCCCCACTAGAAACATCATCGTCTAACACCCCTTAAGAAGCACTTTAATTTTAGAAAGAGTGAAAACCAAATGCGTTTTCTCCAAAGCCACCAGCCCGGTCAGGGAAGCCAGTGGCCCCCAGGCTCGGGCGACCTCTCTTAGGCGGGAAGAGGATGTGTCTTCCCTCTGCTTTGTACGCGAGTGTACAGAGCAGCACACACACACTCACACAAGGGCGGGAGCGAGCCGGGGACACTCGCCAGGCCCGAGGCCTGCTCCCTTTGTTCCACTCACCCCTGCCCCGCTCCGCCAGCTCATAGAGAAGGGCGGCCAGGCGAGCGGGGGTCGGGGCTGGCGTCCTCTGCCCTTGTGCCCCGCAGCTCCCGGGTATAAACCTGAGCCATGCTCGCTGGACGTGGCGGCCAGCCTGGACACCACTCCTGCCACAATCACCCCTTTATTTAAAATGAAGCCACATCACATCACA